TGATATCAAATCTTTGAAATATCCTACAGAATTTTCATATCCATTAAACTTTGGAGAAATCCCTTGCACGCTTTCAGTTGTAGTGATCGAGAAAACTCGATACAGAGTTGAAATGGCTATTAGAGTTCAACTCAGTAGTGTACACTCAGCTTGAACGGTGAAGGCATGATGGCTTCCAGAGTGAGCTTCACTATTGATCTTTTTTGATGTCTTTATCTGAAGTAAGAATAAAGGAATAAAAACAATCTGATTTGTTTCTCTTCATTTGTTTGCACGTAGTAGTTGGCAGGAAAAATTTCATACATCCTTTCGCATTCATTCTTTACGGCATAACTATTGTTTACCTATATTTTAGATGGCAAATGAATTTCGTGTTAAACGTGCGTACGTCGAGGCGTGCGAACGAAACTGGTCTAAACAATCTTCATCGAAAAACCATACTAGTTTTAATAGTATTAAAGTATTGAATGACATTCCGGATGGCAAAAGATATCTACAAGGCTTAGGATATATTCTAAACTTAAATAATGCTGATGGATGGAATACATTTGAAAGAACATTATGCTTGAATATTGAACTTAGTGGTCCCAGCGCAACAGAGTTCAAACGATTGGAATTCAAAATCGGGGGTAAAAATGGCACAGCAACCTATTTACTTGTAGCAACAAATGTGGACTGCTGTAATAAAGTTACAGTGTGTTATGCATTTCATCATATTAATCAACATATTCTAGACCATGGCGGGTTCACTTTGCGTACAGCTGATATTACACTTGATTGGATGAGAGCAAAGTCTTGTGAGAGTTTAGCAGCTATGCTACCACGAGATGTGGCCCCACACCTGATTTATGAATAGATACAATTATGGCCCTCAATGAAGTTTCATTTTTCTGCAGTTTTTTTTGTGATTGTGCGTTTGAATGTAATAAATAAAATTCTCTAAATAAATAATAGGTCGATTCGACGAATTTTCTTACATCAAATTCTTAAATCATAGATGAGTCGTAATAGAATAATTTAGTGGAACTACTCGCAAGCGAGTACAATTTGTGACTATGAATATTGAATTTACGACTGATCCTCATATTCACGACAACGTCCTCAGGTGCATGATTTCAGCTCGATAGCTTAAATTTAGGCTAAATTTTATATTGAACGACTTGAGAATTCTTGATACTTTAACGTATTATTGAAGCATATTCTATTTTCTTTCTTCACTCAAAAGATCATTTAATCTACTCCAAGATTGGTGTCCTCAGCTGTTTGCCAATCCTTATCTCAAGCAAAGTACTTCTTTTCATGTAATTTCACACCAGAAGATGGTTCGTTTCTGAAACTTGTCGGGAACAATATTCAATTGCAATCGAAACTTTTCTAAAGATATGGGCTCGATTCATTGAGGAATTAGTGATTTATGGACTACCGAGAGCATCCCTGAGTTTTTACCGCTCCAATAGCGAAAATGAGATCATTAAAATTCTAGAGAAGGGTTTAGAAGCCTCGATAAAATTAACAGCGCGCATATAGATGGAGTATGGCCATAAATAATAACCTTTCCGCTTATGCATAAAAAACTTTTTTCCAAGAAATATAAAGTTCGCCAGAAAAACAAGTGCTATCATATTCAATCTATTATTATTTTCGGTCTATTTAAGCAATCAAGATGATATTACAGGGTGAAGCCTCTTTTCCACTACTCTATTTTTAAACTAAAAACGCATCCACAAGAACTACACTGAGAGTGTTAAATGTTTTTACTTTGGAGTTCTAATCGAATCCCAATGCCGAATTTCCATTTTATTGCTTAATCGCACAGAAAAAGGGTGCAGAAAATCATTAAAATAATCATTAGTATCATCAGATTCGTTGAAGCGTAAAGTGACGTTGAAATATTTTCAATTTCGTCTTTAATAGTAGAAGTGGAACTTGATGTAGTCTTTCTTGAGGTGATTGAGCCAGATATTTGAACACCTTTCAAGGTGGTCGCTGCATTACATCGCAATGCAGTGGTTGATGTTGTCATTTTTCTGGTTGTTGTTAGCTTTCTTTTAGTTTACAAGAATTTTGTTATCGTTGTTGTTGGCCTGATTATAATTGTTGAACTATAGGTTCTAGTTAAAGAACTACTTGTCACAAATACACCTAACTGTTCCGTTGCCATTTCGATATTGACTTCGAAAATTTTATACATAGTCGATAAATTATAATGCATTTGAACAGATTGATTGATCTGTTGCGCAATTGAACCAGTATTATACCAATATGACGCACGCCAATAATGAACAATTGGACTGATTCTAGCTGTTTTATTGGTGTTGTAATCTGTTGAATCGTCCTGATTGTTTTTGTTGATATGGTTCCGATAGGATAAGATCAGTGATAATAGAAAGATTTTTGTGTGTCTTGCTTTCTTCATAACATATGGCATCGTTCTGTTTTGTAATTGATGAGGATGTTCAGGCACATCCACGACAACAAGATATTGTTGCATTCTTCTCGTTGCCCTAGGCAGATCAAGCTAGACGAGAAAAAAGTAGTCATTTTTCATGGCTGTTTTATAAATTACAAATTAATCATTGCATTTTTTTGAAAGGCAGAAAGTATAGAGTTTCATTGATATTTTTCTTATGTGAAAATGCTTTTCCCTGTTCCAGTATCACTGAGAAGAAGCGGAGTAATTATATTGACTAATTGACTAGAATTTGCTTCAAATATCCAATCAATATGATCAAAGGAAAAATGACGCTGCCCATGGAAAAATATTCCTCATAATGAACGTGAAAGAACGCGTTTTCGAAAAAATTGAACGTATTTTATCGACTAAAAACGCGTTCTAAGAACAAATTAACGCGTTCAGACGCGTTTCGCAAAATTGTGAATGCGTTCGAACGCATACTTGTTGGTAAGCAACGTGTTTTTATTATATTGAACGCATTAATAGTGGAAGCGTCTTTTATCGTACGAACGCTTTCAACTTATATGCGTTTGAACTTGTTCGCGAGTAATTTGTTCTTACAGTTAGAAAACCCGTTTCTCCAAAAACGCTTGAAAACGTATACTGAGGAACTTCTTCGGCAACTTTCAGAACGCGTTTTTTATGTAATGAAAATTACTCATTTTAACTTAATGGAATTCATTATTTGAAATATATCGAAATACTTATAACGAAAGTGCTATGCCAATTAAGAAATATGTGTCAACATGAAAAAATTTCTTTCTGTTGCAGTGCACTGAAAGGTAGCGTCTTGCTAGGTAAAGTTTTCATCTATCTAGAGTTCCGTAATAAATGATTTTACTTTTTTCTAAACTAGTTTTTTTATCAAACGAATTCGCTAATATTGTGCTTTTTTAATGAACATTCTCAGACCGTATATTCTTTCTTTTATTTGAAAAATAGTAATCAGGAAGGTTTCGGTTGATTCTAAACATTAAACAGAAATTTTGAAAAAGTTATATTAGTGCATGCCTCAAATGCATTTATCACATTTTTACTTTCCATCGAAGGCATCAATTATTTTTGCTCATAATAAAAATCAGAATTGTCCATCGGTTTCTAATTAATTTCTATTAAATTTAGCGTTTGTCGATTCAAATTTATGATGAATTTAACTTTAAAAAAATTATATTTACTCCAATCGATCGTACAATGTAAATTTAATTTAAACCCATATAATTAGACTTAAATTCGATAAAAATCGCAGTAAATGAATTTCGATCAGATAACGAATATTTAAGTCTAATTACATGAGTTTTAATTAATGTAAGCTAGATTGGAAAATTTTTATTAAATGTCAAAAAATATTAAAACGCCAAATTTCCAATATTGTTTTTTGAAAGAAGTTTAAGTTCTTTAAATTTATTTTTGAATTTATTAAATTTTTTGTAAACTTAAATAGATCAGTCTTAAGTTTAAATTTCGTTAAGCCAGAATAAATTTTTGTTTAATACAAATAGAAAACTCAGCACTTCAAACATACGTAAGTGTAGTTCATTCGGATAATCACTACTTCGAAACTACAAGTTTATCTGATCGAGTCCACTCTACGGTAGTAAAATCAAAACGAAGTGGGACGCGTTCTGTGCCAACACAAGTATTCGAATAGAGAAACCAGCAGTCTGAGAACTTATACAAATAGCAAAGGAACACGTTCGAGAGCATTATAGAGTTGAAATTACAATAAATAAATGATTTTTTTTTCTTCTAAATAAGAACGTGTTCTTACCGCGAAAAACGTGTTCTTATGGAACGATCAGAACGGGTTCCTTTTATTCAAAAGAACACGTTTTTCATTACACAAACGCGTCTCAAAAGGTCGAAAAAAGCGTCTTCACAACGCAGTCTTTTATCTGGACAACACGTTCTTATCCGTTCTTTTTTTGAATTTTTTTCCATGGGTGCACTGTAAAAAAAATCGTAGAATAAGAAACCCTAGTACTTAATAAAAATTTTCCTAAATCCTAAAATAGTTTATGAGCTGAAGGGTTTCTGAGTCGAGGAGTATTTGAAAATAAAAAGGGTTTAGAACTAATAAAAAAAAGCGTTTATCATTCTATGCTTGCACGAAAAAGGATCATTATTATTCTACGGCGAAGGGTTTATTGTTCTAGACTTGCCTGACTTGGTCAACTCGGAGATTTTTCAAGTCACAAAAAACAATTTCAAGTCAAACCAGATCCAAAAGTTTTTCAAACAAGTCAAATTAAGTCAAGTCAGACTCGGAATGACTTGCCCACCTCTGACCCTTGCATGAAAAGGGCTTTTATTTTTGTTTAACAATAGGTACATATAAAATTCAACTCATTTATTTATATGGCTTACATTTCATCGAACGACCTGTTGAACAAACAGTAAGTATAAAATTTAGAATGAAACTATCCTTTATTTTATTCAGATGTCGCCGAACAATCGACTCAACCATAAGTAAGTATAAAAGTAAGAAAATTCATTCATTTGTTTTATATAAATATCGTCGAACGATTGGTTCAACAACATTAAGTATACAATTCAAAATTAAATCGTTTTTTACTTTATTTAGATATCGTCGAAGGATTAGCTCAACAACAACTAAGTATAAAGTTTGAAATAAAATCATATACTTTGTTTTATTTGACGTCGTCGAACAATTGGCTCAAGAATAAGTAAGTAAAAAATCTATAATAAAATATTTTTTTCTTTTATTTAGAGTTGGCCGAACAATTTATCCAACAGTAAATATTTCTTAACCCTTCGGAACTTCGGAAGGGTATATGAAAGGGTTTAGAAAAGTCATAAACCCTTTGGAGGGGTTTAGGAATGTTTCATGTACAGTAAAAATGGTTTGTGACACATTGCACTTTAATAAGCCCTTTTAAGGTTTATTATTCTGCGTTTTTTTTTACAGTGTGTGCCGTTGTAATGCTGAAAAGACGATTTGTAGCTCTTTCTTTTGATTCATTGTTTGCCAATTTCGGCAGAGGTTCATCAATATCAGACAGTGGTCTTTGTTGATTCTAGAAGGCGTAGTAGCATTAAACATACTTTCGTAGACTAATAGAAAGCGTTAGTTTTTGCCATCCCTTAATAACTTTCATGATTCGAGTTTCAAGCAATTTTGAATCATTGAATATGATAAAACGGACTCGTTTATTACTATTTTCATTATTACTGTTAGTAGTAGTATCCATATTATTGTCATTTATATCACTTTGTTATTTATCAGAGCTAGAAGACTCCATAGGTTTAGAATTACACGAATCATTGTGATCAGTACCTGGAGAATGTTGATTGAATAGATTTAGAATAAATCCTTTTAATTCATCTGAATCGAATTCCATTTATCAAAGAATAGTCTTGTTCAATGAAAATAATGATCTAGAAGACTGTAACACAAATAATACAATTAAGAAAACTTGAATATCAAACTGCAAATTTTGCAAATGCAAGCATACACGTGTTTCTGTCAGCGCAGATGTAGTCATTCAAAGATAATTTTCAGTAACCACTAAAGAAACTACGACCGATCTTAGCATAAGCATAACAAGCTATTATCAATTGAATCAATAGTTTCACATAAGCTGCCAATTCTAAGATTACAAAAACGTTCACGTCCAACTATAGTGATCTTTCAATGTGCCACCGACTCTATCAATCATAAATTACTCTGAGTCTAAAAAGCAAGAACACCATACTAAAATGGCATTCCATCGATTTGATGACAACTGTAATCCTTCCCATAAAGACTATTCCGGTACCGTTCCAACTGCCATAGCACGAGCATCTATAGTAAAAATATATACATTCATGTATTCGTGTATCAGTGTAAATGAGATCTTTTTTCCGCTGCACACAAACAGCTGGGATGAGGTGTGCGCCAGGTTGCCTGCGGCGCCTACACATAGGATTGTGCTCCGCGTGTCAATATCGCGCGTGTTATGTTGGTATCTCATATTTTTGACAGGCTCTTTGGGAATACTAAAGCTGGAACCGTCAATCATGAAAGTTGAAATTCGAAATTTGAAAAACTCAATTGAATCAATTGAATTCAAGTTTTAAGTATATGCCCAAGTATTGAAAGACTTGCCTTGAACTTTAGAAAACAATTTTGTATCATATTAACTTTTCTTACTCTTTCAAACTCAATATCTTATTTCAACAGCTAATTCATAATAATTTGGATGGTAGTTTCATGAATCATGAATTAATATGTGAATGCAGTTTCACCTTGAGCTATATCCATAAAATTATTTTATGCTGTCAGGTATTTATATTACATTTGCATGGTGTTAGATTAACTATAGTTGATTGAATCCTAAAAGACTATTATAGAAGAAACTGAAGAGCTAGGTAAATACTCGTACCCTTATGTATTCAACATTCATTTACATACATGTATTTTATATATCTTCACACAGCATCCAAGTAGAAAAAATATCTTGCTGCTGTGTAATCTGGCACCGAATCACAAATAAAAAACAACTACAAAAATTTTCTCCACTTCATTGAAAGCAATGCATTGCTGATGTGTAGCCCCCCAATGGCTAAAATGAGGAACTCATATATATGCTGTAAACTCACTAAGTTGGTGTTTAAATAGGTTATGTGGGAATGCTCCGTAAAAATCTACTGTGTAGCGAACCCAGATTTTTATTATTGATGTCTCATATCTGTAATGAGAAGCATTATGGGATGAGTGGCAAACTGAAAATATCTCTCATTAAAATTGATACTTACTATTTTCTTCGAAAATATCAGCGACTTCCACAAAACTACTCAAGCAACAAAATTTATTTCGTACACTTCAAAAGAAAAACAAATCTTTTTATTGAATTAATCTCGTTGAAATTGTGCATTTACACTTCTCTTCCGTTTCGCTTATTGTCCTATTGCTCGTGCTCCTGTTACTCGACTAGAAAAGGATACTTTTTAGATTTTCTCTATAAAATACCTTGCATCGCAGATGCGATAAAACAAATGTTGAGTATTCTTTCTATCTAACTCAATAAGAGGTAAAC